TCTCCCCCTCATTCATACATTCGTGTGTGTGTGTGTGTGTGTTTAAGACAGGGTCACTCACTACTCTTAGCTCATCATTTCAGCTAGGCTAGCTAACCAGCAAGCACCATCAAGCTCCTAGGACCTGATCACCTCCACCCTCAGGACTGGGGTATAGGCTTATATCGGTGTGCCCAGCTTTTACTTGGGTGCTAGGGATCAGAACTCAGGTCCTCAATTTACCCATTGAGCCATCTCTCCAGCTCATTGTTTTTGTTTTATTATTTATTTTCTGATTTAGTGCCTCACTCTGTAGGCCAGGTTGACTTAGAACTCACTATGTGATCTAGACTGATGTCTAACTTATGGTGAACCTCCAGCCTCAGCCTTTCAAGTGCTAGTGTCTCAGGCATAAGCCACCATCTCTGGCTCTATCCACCTCTGAACCTCACAGGAACAAACCTGGTGTAATTGGCCTTGCCTTTCACACATACCCCTGTCCTTTTTGTTTTCCCTGTTCCACACAGGTTATAACAGTTTTGTAAAAGTAGGCTGGGACTGAGGAGGCGGTTCAGTGGGTAAAGGCTCCTGCTGCGATGCCTGACCCACATGATAGAAGGAGAGAACCAGCTCCTGAAAGATAGCCTCTGCCTTTCAGACATGCCATGACAAGTACATTCAATGTTAAACTTTAAAAATCTATTTATTGAGACAGAGTCTTACTGTATAAATAGCCTTGGGTGTCCTGGAACTAAAAGTGTGTGCCAACTCGCCAAACTTATTATTAATTTATATATTTATTTATTTATGTATAGGTATTCTGTCTGTGTATGTGTTTGTACAAATGTGTGCAAGACCAGAAGAAAACGTTAGATTTCCTGGGACTGGAGATACAGACAGTTGAGACCTATCGTGTGGGTGCTAGGATTCTGACTGGGGCACTCAGGAAGAGCAATCGTGTTCTAACAGCAGAATCATCATCTCTTCAGCTTCTCTTCTGGCTTCTGCATGCAGTATACATAGATACATGCAGGCAAAACATAGAAAAAAAATTTTTAAATAAGAAAGTAGTCTATTTGAGGCCTTTCCTTGCTCTTCCCCTCCTCCAGAATGAGCTCTTCCCCATCATAGCCCTGCTTTCCACCACAGCTTTCTGCCGGAGGCTCTGCAGTCCACACACTGAGGGGAAGGGCATCTACAGCAGTGAAGCTGAGCTTTCCTTCTGGTGAGTTCACTTGGAGCTGCTGGTGTCTGCTTTCACTCACCTGGGGGTGTAGACACTCCCTTACCTGCCAAAGGACCTACCTGCTCAAAACACCACCCTTCCTCCCATGGTTCCTCTATTTCTGGCTTTGGGATTCTTCAGACTAAGAATAGCCTGCCTGTGTTGTCATTTTTGTTTTTCTTTTGAGACCAAGTTGCTCTGTGTAGGCTGGAGTCCTTCTGGATTCATTTTGCCTTATGAAGTCTTTTGTTTATCTGTAAGTGAAGTCGGGACCCCTAAGGAAGAGCCAGAATTCCATCATCCTGCCTTAGTCTTCTAGCAGTGGTGTCACAGGCATGGTATCATTGACCATGCCCAGTGTTCACATGGTATAGCCCAGTGGAGCTGGGTTGGGTTTAGAAGCTGATCTTTTCCATGGAGTTGGACCCAGAGAAAGGAATCCATTCCACTTAGGAGAGGCACATTGCACCCAGACAATACTCAGCTGCCCATGGAGTATTTATGTCCCCCTTTGTCCCGTGTCCACTCAGAACAAAGTCATGGTTTCAGTGTTTATTGTCCTAGCCATGGAATTCAGTAACACCATCAAGACTCTGGGCATCTTTTAAAAAAATAAAAATAATAATGGTAATTTGATCCTTATTTGAGACTGGAATCTCCAAACTGATGCTTCCTTGTATGACACAGCAGTGTAGGCCTGTGTGGTTCCTGGAGGAGATTTCTGTTTTTCTTGGAGTCTGTCCTGTGAGAGGGTGTAACTGGGCTCAGTTTCTCAGAACAAGCCTGGGAGCAAATGCCCAGAGCTGTGTACTTATTTGATACCTGGTGCTGGCAGAGAGGTCTCCCTCTGCTCGCTGTCCTGAGTACTCTGCCAGGGGCCAGCTCTGCGCCACCAGAGTTGCTTGGCTTTGGGTCTCATTCTCTGTCTGATGGGAAACCTTGCTCAGCTTTTGTAAAGTGACCCTGCCTGGCAGGATGGCTGGCATGGCAGTTGTAGTTTTTGCAGTGCCAGTGGTGTGACTTAGGAAGATGACAGGATCAAATCTTAAGGTTTTTCCAGTAGTTCATCTCGGTGTCGGGTGTTACTTTCGAGAAGCAGTAAGACAGCATGCCACAGTTATTTCCTGGGTGTGCCTGGCTGGGGACAGAGGTGTATTTACTCAGGTGGGTCTTCATGTCCTCTTAAAGGGCTTCTTTCTGCCATGCACCATGTGCAGGTCCTGGGCAGATGGTTATTCCGGTAGCACTAGAGAAGGAAGCACAGGCTCAGTGAATCAGGGCAGCTCTCCTCTGTCTGTCCTTTGACCTTTGCAGGTATAGGAAAGTGAGAATCCACACAATGAATCGATGAATCCTTTCCCCTGTAAAAGTTATGACTTGGAAACTTCTAAAAATAGCACAAAACACACACTGTCTTGTCAGCCAAACCTTGGCAGTGGCCTGTCCCTGTCTTTAGCTGGGGCCAATGTTATATATATATTTAAAGATTTATTTACTGTGAATACAGTGTTCTGCCTGAATGGATTCCACCAGAAGAGGGCACCATATCTCATTATAGATGGTTGTGAGCCACCATGTGGTTGCTGGGAATTGAACTCATGACCTCTGGAAGGACAGCCAGTGCTCTTAACATCTGAGCCATCTCTCCAGCCCCAGAGCCAATGATTTAGAAGCATTTTGCCCCAGGTATGTCGCTTCATATATAAAACTTAGCTTCTTCCTTGACTGGAACAGGTGCTGGGTTTAAATTCTGTTTGAAAGTGTTTAAATTTCACAGATGCGAAAAATGTATTAAATGGAGAAGCTGGAATCAACAGTGGGGAACTTAATAGAGGGCTTGGGACTGGAGAGATGACTCAGAGTTCAAATCCCAGCACTTGAATTAGGCAGCTCATAAACATCTGTAACTCTAGTTGCAAGGAACCTGATGCCTTCTGGACTCCGGGGGTACCACACAGGCCCACACATACGCTCAGACACCCCTGCACTCTCACAAATAAAGAGGTTGCTGTGTAAGACATTGCATTTGCTCTTAAAATGGTACTGCATTAGGGTAGGTTCCTAGAATTAATACCGTTCTAGCTGGAGCTGTGCTTGGTAGAGAATCTGGGTATCTGTCAAGAGCATTCTGTGTGTTTTCCGTACATTGACTGTATTTCAGCTGTATTCTGGCCTTTCCAGGTGCCTCAGAGAGTTGACGGTGCCTCCCAAGCACAGTATATTGTGTTGCCAAAAATGAGTGATATGAATCTAGCTTCTGATAGTAGAATTTTGTATTGTTTGTAAGAGATACAAATTAGAAAAGATGAAAAGAACCTTTTAGAAAACACCATTAAAGAAAGTTTGCCTGATTGTAGGACTCAACCAGTGGATTGAGCATCAATGCCACTTCAAGACTAACAGCTGTCCAGTTTGGTAAATAATGATTCTCCTCATAGACAGTAGTTAGGTAAATCACTGATAGAGCTGGCCAGCTTGAACTGCCTCGTTCCTTGTAGAACACAACAGGTCCCCTCCTGAGGAATTGTCACTGTAGCTGTAGTTTGGAAAGTGACATTTGAACTCCTTATCCCCCGCCCCACACCCTCAGTCTCTACTTCCTTAGTGCTGGGTTTGTGGGTGTGTGCCAAGACACCGGCTCTCTTGTGTCTTAGAAACAGGGTCTCCAGCCTGGGCACCATTGATTTGGAAGCTGTTCCTCGCCCGGAGGCTGCCCTGTATTGCAGGACACTTAACAGTGCCACAGTCTCTACCCAGTAGCAGCCCCCACCTCACCCACCTGTCATATCACAACCAAAAATGTCTTGACCTTGCCAGATGCCTCTTAGGCAGAATCACCTGTGACTGAGAGCCCCTCTCCAGCAAATATTGCTGAGCACATAGTTCCTTCCCTCCAGGAACTGGTCCTCACAGAGTGAGACACACACAGAGCCTGCCTCCACTTCACATGCAGGCATCTGGAATCCCTGGTGCTCAGTATAGAGGCCCCCAGGCTGAGGTCTAAATGTGTGGGTAATGGTCTCATCTGCTCGTCCTTTGTCTACAATGCTGGCTTTGTGGTAATTGTGAGAAGTCTTCCCTCTGATTCCCCATCAGATTCCCTAGGTCCACCTTGGGGACAAACAGCAGGCTTATCTCCTATCCCCTTTCCCTCAGCGCTGGCCACAGAAAACTTGTGTCAGTACAAACTAGATTTTGAGCTGGTTGACACGTGTGGCTGTGAAGGGCTGTAAAAGGGAAATCAATCCCAGGAGTAGGCTCAGTGCACCACGGGGATCAGAAGACTGCAAGGGAGAGAAGGCGCCTGGGTTTGTGCAGGCTGAATGGGGCGTACAGTGGCTGAGGATGCTGCAGGCAAGTGGGGCAGCTCATTGGGTTCTGAGGACTGATAGCTCAGTCCTGTTCTAGTGCAAAAAAGGAAAAGGAGATTAGAGGTAGGGGAGAGGCAGAATTCAGATATGGTCCTTGAGCAGTTGAGTGGGGACAAGACTTGGCTAGGTAGGTTTTGAGAAGGTTGGAGTGGTTGGAGTGACTCTGAAGGACAGTCCAGGAGAGGGGCTGGAGGCTATACAAAGAACCCAGCCTAATGGTGAGATCCAGAACTATTGTTGTGGTCATGGGGCTAAGGGGAGATGGATCTGCAGAGGGAACCTGGTCCCCAAACCTCAGGTCTAGTAGGACATAGCCATGTCCCTGGCTAGAGAGAGGGCATTGCCCTTAGCTTGGAAAAATAGAGACTTAAGGTTTTATTTGAGAGAGATTTTTTTCCACTTTTATATACATTTTTTTCCTCTAGGAAATAGACAGACGGTTGGAAAAAAAACTGAAGATCACACAAAAGGAGAGGTAAGGCGATGTCTGGCATGAAGGCTCATGTTCTCTGCCACTGGAGAGCTGGGCAGGCAGTGTTCCCCAGCAGGCTGATAACCTTAGAAGGTTAGGCTCCTGGGCACTAGCTCTTCAGTCCCAGTAGGAGACCAGGACCCTGGATTGAATCTTTGGGATGAGGCTAGGTGGGCTCTGTGTGAGGTCATCTCATTGACAGCAGCAAGGTGACAAGTTGCAAGGTTTGGGTTTAGCTGTGACTGCCCCGGTGACTCTGAGGTGGGGTGAGTTGTTTCTCCCTCTGGACATCGGTATCTTCTGTAATGAAAAGTTTGGACAGATGGCTTCTCTGTGGCCTTTGGCGTGCAGTTTAGGCTATTAGGAGGGTGTCTTGGAAGGGAAGAAAGATTCTCGGAAATTTTTGCGAGACCTTTAAGAATTGCTCTCTCACATCCGTCCTTGCAGCATGGAAAGCGGGTTTCAGAGTGGGTACTGGGCTTAGGTAACAGGGGCAAGCAACAGAGTAGAACCAGCTACGTCACTCCCCCAGGGGATTCTGGGAGGCCCCTGCCCCACACTGGCTTTCCAGACTCCCTGCTGTTGTGATGAGACTGCTGGCTCCTTTCCTCTTCCCAGGAGCTGCTTCCTGTGGTCACCTCTGGGACCTTTCCACTCAGAGACTCAGAGCACGCAGCTTCTACCCTTCCTGACAACCCAGGCTCTGGCCAAGGTCTCAGTGGTTGTGACAGGTCTGGGGTGGCCTGGTGGCTGGTGTGTTCATCTTGCCTGCTCCAGTTCTCATTTGTAGCATGTTTCCTCCCTCCCTGTGTTGTTGGCCTCTTTGTGTTTGGGGAATTTCACCTCTGCTTGTGGCCACCTGGCATTGGTGTGCACATCCACTAACCTTGGACAATGCTTTTCTTTTGAGCATTTGACAAGCACTGTTTCTAAGACCGGCCTTCGCCCTAGCCCCGCCGCTGCCCATCAGAACAGAGAGCCCTAGTAAGGGAGATTTCTCTGCTCAAAGGCTCTTGTGTGGAGGTGACTTGCTTGTCTGGTGCAGCCTGTCTCTGAGAGGTACAGGTCACTGGCCAGAAGGCAGAGTGAGTTTGATAAATCCTGTCTTGCTTGTTGCCAGATAGGGTGGCATAGCAGGTGCCTATATATTGTCTTATTTTGAGCACACGCTGTAGGAGACCTGGACGGAGGGGCTCCCAGCTCACCAACCTCCCATTCTCTGGTCTATGTAGCGAAGCTGGGGTTTTCATCAAAGTCGTTGAATTTTGGGTGTGGAATGTTTGGTGTCAAGGGCCAAATGGTGCTTGATGGACCTGTTGTGTACATGGAGAGGAAGCCCTAAGACACAAGGTGGTGAACTGGCCCCTGCAGAGTTAGATCTGTGGAGCAGGTTCTGTGCCCTGCAGAGCTAGTGGCAAGGTGATGTTTGAGGAGTGGGAGTGCAATTGTCCTGGGCCAGTGAGTAGTTAGTAAAGGAGGACAGTAGTGAGAAGGGTGTGGGCTTGGATGGGCCTTCTGGTCCTTGTCGGATTTGTGAAGTTCTATTTGCTCTTTGTCAGCAGGAAATCCAAATCTCCTCCCAAAGTGCCCATTGTGATTCAAGACGATAGCCTTCCCACGGGCCCCCCTCCACAGATTCGCATCCTCAAGAGGCCCACCAGCAACGGTGTGGTCAGCAGCCCCAACTCCACCAGCAGGCCAGCCCTTCCTGTCAAGTCCCTAGCACAGCGGGAGGCAGAGTACGCAGAGGCCAGGAGACGGATCTTGGGCAGTGCCAGCCCTGAGGAGGAGCAGGAGAAACCCATCCTTGACAGGTGAGTGTGGCTGCCAGCGGCAGGGCAGTGGGAGGAAGAGGTAGAATGTACCCCACACCAACCTGAAGGTTACCTCTATGTGGGTTCTGGGAATCCAACTGAGGTCCTCAGCTTGAGAGGCAAGTACTGTACTAACGAAGCTCTCTCCAACCTAGGGGTACTGTAGAGTGTTAAGTGTGGTTGGCTGATGGGCCGCCTCCACAGCGTACAGGCGCCAGGAAGCAGACTGCACAGGGAGAAGAGGATGGGCTTTGACTCGGGCTTTGTCAGCTGCACTCTTTACAGCTACTTCACCTGATGTCTGGTCTGAGAAGTAGGGTAGTGGTCATACCTGTCTTGCCAGCCAGCCATTGGGTACATACTTAACCAGTGAACAGATGGCCGTAAGATGCCAAGTTCTGCCCAGGACCCCAGAAAAGCCCAGTGTTGAGGTGCTGTGTCTCCAGCAGACCTGTGTGAGTTTTTGCTGAAATTTTAATATTTCACTTGTGTCTTTTTATTATTATTTTAGATTTGTATTATGTGTGTTTCTTTCTGATAACATAGCATTTGTTAAAAATGCCTTTGGAACTGGGTGGTGGTGGTGCTTAATCCCAGCACTGGAGAGGTAGAGGCTGGAGGATCTTTATGAGTTTGAGGCCCACCTGGTCTACAGAGTGAGTTCCAGATCAGCCAAAGCTAGAGAGAAACTCTGTCTCAAAAAAAGATGCGATCAAAAAAAAAAAAAAATCCAAAAACCTACCTTAGGAGGCTGAAGACACGGCTTAGTCAGTCTTAGAGTACTTACCACACAAGCATTGGGGACATGAGTGTGGATCCCCAGCACCTACATGAAAGCTGGGCACGGGCTACTGAGGTGGTTCAGTAGGTAAGGGCACAGGGTGCCAAGCCTGGCTGCCTGAGTCCAGTTTCTGGAACCCTCACAGTGGAGAGAGAACCAGCCCCTGCAAGGTGTTCTCTGACCTCCATACTCAAGCTTTGGGGTGCACGTGGACACTCGTGTACATGCACACAGTTCAAAATTGTTTTAAAAAAGGAAATTGAAGGTTGAGGAAAATACCAGATGTTTACACAAGTGCACACAGAGACACACAAAGCCTGTTTTTTGAGAAAGGGTCTCCTGTAGCTCAGGCTAGCCTCAAACTCACTACTGTATAAAGGATAACCTTGAATGCTGGTCCTTCTGACTCTACCTCCATATTACTGGGATTCCAGGCATGTACCACCCCACCTGGTTTACATAAAACTGGAATCAAACCTAGGACTGCATACATGCTAGGCAAGCACTCTGCTAAGACACAGGTCCAGCCCATACTTTTTGTATGTCTCTTTTGAGACAGTTTTTCCCTGTAGCCTAGGCTGACCTGACAGTCCTCCTGTCTCAACCTCCCTGGAGGTAGGGGTACAAACACACCACACCAGACTGTTCTTTCTTTTTTCCCCAGTGTTGGGGACTGCATGGTTGGCCCCAAAGCCTGTTAGGCAGGCAGCCTGCCCCCCCACCCCCCAGCCTGGCCCTAGTCCTCTACCCTGAGGCTATCTTTGCCTTGCTATTCTGTTCTTGGATAGTTTATCGAGTTCCTTGTCTATCCCTTCTTGGTGATGTTTTGGTTTGCTTTTTGGCTTTTTTTTTTTAGTAAAAAAATTACTCAATTTATTGGCACACGTAAATATTTAACTTACAAATACAATACATCTAAATATAAAAATACAAAAAAATATGGAACGCTTCACGAATTTGCGTGTCATCCTTGCGCAGGGGCCATGCTAATCTTCTCTGTATCGTTCATTTTAGTATATGTGCTGCCGAAGCGAGCACTGCTTTTTGGCTTTTTGAAACCAGGTTCTCACACTTGCTGGCATAGAATTCAGTGTAGCCCAGCCAGCATTGCACTCTGGGTGGTCCTCTGGCCTCCCTAGCACTGTTACAGGCGTGTGTCACCATGTTCAGTGCTGTTTGTCTTGAAGGAACCTCCGTTCTGTTTTCTCCTCTTAGTCTGCACCTGTCTGGAGTGGGAAAAGTCCATTTCCTTCTGTCTTCTCTAGTACTAGGAGTCAGCAGCTAGCCTCGTGGTTTGGAGGGAAGCAGGAAGCAGACAGGTGGGTGCCAGTTCACTCCTGAGTGCACAGCTAGGGGCCCAACGCTGGAGCAGTCTGTTAGCTCTGTGGGAGGTGTGCTGCCATAGCCACTCCTCCCTCTATGGGATCGAGTGCACACACTCCCTCTGCTCACAGATGAGAAGGGGGCAGTGCTGTTACTGCTAGGAGTTAACACAGACCATGGACCATTACCTCGTTCCCACAGGAGCTGCCAAAGTGGAAAATGTCCCTAGTCTGCTTGCCAAAGAAGTAGCCGCGACACCTCCAGTTGGCTGCTAACCCCAACCTCTGCCATGGGTTGATTTATTTATTTATTTATTTATTTTATTTTTATTTTTTAAGGTTCAGGGACTTCAGGCTGGGAGGAGGCTCAGTTGGCATTAGTGCTATAAGACAAGCATGAGGACCCCAGCCTGAATCCTCAGCACCCACATAAAAGCCAAGCAAAGCTACAAGTGGGTGGGGCAGAGGGGTGTGAAGGGGTTAAAAGGATCCCTGGAGCTCATTGGCCAGCCAACCTAGTCAGTGAGTTCCAGGTTCAGTGACTTGAAGAATAAGGTAGAGAGCAGGGGAGGAGGACACCTGACAATATTTGGCCAGACATACACACTTGTGCATACATGTTCCCACACTCAACAAACGACACACACACACAAAAGAATTATTTGAGCATTTTTTATATCCTCAAGGCCTTCCTCTTATCTTTTAGGCCAACCAGGATCTCCCAACCCGAAGACAGCAGGCAGCCCAGTAATGTGATCAGACAGCCTTTGGGTCCTGATGGGTCACAAGGCTTCAAACAGCGCAGATAAATGCAGGCAAGAAAGGATGCCGCTGCCACCGCTGCCGCCACCATCGCCTCCTGGATTGTCTGCCATGGGTCGCACTGCCGTGGCAGACATCTGGACTTGAGCAGAGGGAACGACCTGACTTACTTGCACTGTGATCCCCCTTGCTCCGCCCACTGTGACCTTGAACCCCATGCACTGTGACCTCTGCCTCCCCCCCCTTCCCACTGTGATTGGCGTGTTGACAAGGGCTGTCCTAAGTCAATAGAAAGGGAAAGGGTGGGGATTAGGGGAGGATTGGGGGAACCTACCAAGGACTCAGAGTAGAGGGTCAGACAGTGCCACTTGGCCACTTGGGGTAAAGCCAGTGCCAGCAATAACAGTTTATCATGCTCATTAATTTGGGATTTCAAAAGACAAATGAAAACTCCCCCCACCCACCCCAAGTGCATGTCGCCATCACTTAAAAGGAAGTTCCATTGAAAATATCCTTTCCTTTTTTTTTTCTTCCTATTTTTGTTTGTTTATACAAATATCTGATTTGCAAGAAAAAGTGCATGGAAGGGGTTTTAGCAGTTTAATGAATTTTTAATTGAGAAAGGGTAGTTTGGTAGTCACTTGAGGATGTTTCTAGGAAATTTGCTAGAAACATTAACCAATAGGATTTTGGTGAGCTTAGCTTCTGTATTCCTACTGCCGCCCAGAAAAGGCGGGGCTCAGGAGCCCCCAGTAGATGAGCACTGTGCCTATATTGCCTTCCTCTAGCTAAGTCCCAGCTAAGTTACCTAGAGACAGCTCAGAGAGCCTGGGGGAGGTGCCAGCCCCACCTCTAGTATTGTGGGAGATGGGGAAAGTGACAGACTTCCCCTTCCCATACCCCTCAGGGTGGCTCCCTACCAGCCAGGCTTGCTGTGTCTAGTGGCGGGCAGAACAGGGAGTATTGGGGAAGAGACCACACTCTGGGCTCAGAATCAGGCAGTGGTGGCACTTGTCCAGTGTTTGCTGTCAGCACAAGCCCGGGGGAGCCTGACTCAGAACTCCAGGCCGTCCCTTCCAGCAAGACTGGAGAGCTTAAGGATATGTGGCCTGCCACATCTGTGATGGCCCTGGCTCAGAAACTGTACCTGGTACGTTTCCCGGGTGAAACGAGTACCACAGGAGTAGAACGGTTGGGGAAAGAGAACCTGCATTGCAGAGGCAGATAGATGGTTGACAGGCCTCTCAGAGGCCTCGACTGCCCTTTCCCTTAGAATGAGGCTGGTATGAAGGCCATTTCTGTTCCCGAGCCTGGAGATTTGCTTTGGCTCCTGATAGGGAGAGGCTTGAGAGGGCAGCTGTGTCCACTGGGTGCTCTCAGGCTTCGCAGTCTTTCCTGTGCCCTTTGCCTTATCCTTCAGCCAGCTTGACGGCCTCTCCTTTCCTGGCCAGCACACAGGTTTGGGAGTGGGTGGGGTGGGGTGGGCTTAGGGCAGCTATGGTGGTTAAAGTGATGAGCTGAGTTTGGCAGGATTCTACCACCTTTGGGTCCCCTGGCTTATGCCCCTTACGCCCACAACATCCTCCCCTTGGGAAGAGTCTCTTCCATAGCATGTCTCTAGACCTGCCTGAAACCAGGGGCCTTCTGCAAGCCAGCTGGAGCAGAGCCTCAGGAGGAGGGCTGGCCACCCCCTTAAATGCAAGAAGGGAGTTGGCTGCTAGCTCATAGACTAGGGCCCACCCACAAGGGCTAGTGGTTTCTAGTTGGAGGACAGACTGTCCTTTCTTTGGTGAAGGGTACAGAAACCCTGCTTGCCCCACACCCTCTAGTAGGAGCTAAGGGCAGCTGGTGTCTGCATATTGAGAGCTTGTAGGACTGACTCTCCCATCTCACTCTGGCCAAAGAAGGCCCTGCTCATAGTGTACTTGCGCCTGCCTACCGGCAGTCTTGCATTTGACCTCCTAGATGGAGAGGTGGCTGGCACAGCGAGAGAAAGAAGCAAAGAAAGGAAGAAAGGAAAACAGACTGGTGTTGGGGGAGGTGGGAGGGCATGGGAAACCGTTTGGATTGTGTGTGTGTGTGTGTGTTTGTGGGTTTATTTTTTTCTCTGTGTGTGTGTGGTTTATTAGTTTTGTTTTGTTTTTGTTTTTTTGTTTTTTTTCCATTTTTTGTAGTTGTCTATAACTCCATAAGTGCTTTTCTTCTTTTTCTTCCTTTCTGTCTCTAAGTAAGTTGCAGGCTTTGGCTTGGAAATCCCCAGGGGGGTGAGGGGCAGGAACCTGAGGCTGCTGCCCCTTTGTTTGCCTTCATGGTACTGTCCCTTCCCCCAGCTCTTCCTGGACCCCATGAGCCAGGCCTCAGCCCTTCCAGCTAACCGCTTCCCATGAGCCACTACTCTGATGTCAGCCTATAACCAAAGGAGCTGGGGGTCCAGGTCTGGTGACCAGCCCTTCTCAGTCCCCTCAATCAGGGTGCTCCCCACCTGCAGGCAGGAGGCAACACCCTATCTGCTGCCATCAGCCCCTTCCAGAGCCCACCTGTCCCGCCCAGCCCTGTCCTGCCCTGCCATACCCTGCTCTGCCCCATCTGGGGGTGCTCTGCTCAGGGATGGGCCGGCAGGGCTGTATCCAGTCTCCCTGGTGAGCAGAGACTCAAGAAAACCTCTGGGGTCCTGCTTCTGGTCATATGACCCCAGGGGGGACCCTTGGGCATCTGTACAGAAGGGACTGGGAGGGAGGGCCGCACCCTGCAGTCTCGCTCTGCTGGTGTAACAGGCAGCTCCCCACCCTAACCCCCACCGCGGGCTCCTGAGTCGGCAGATTAAGCATTTTATAAATTGTATTTTAAATACATGTTTTAAACTTGTCAGACATTTGTCCTCTTTTCTGGCTTCCTATCTCAAACTGTGGCTGCTTGTCCAGCCCTGGGGGGTTCCTGCTCTTGCAGAGGCTGAGGCTTTCTGGTGTACTTGGCTTAAGTCCATTGCTGTAGGACTCCCAACTCTTGAGTGGGGAGATGGGTGCTGCAGTAGGAAGCCCCACCTTCCCCAGACAGAGTTTCAATGAGTCCTGCCTAGATTCTGACCTGGGGGGCGTCTGGAGCTTTGTAAGTCATGTAGGGTGGTGAGAACTGGGACTGAGACCAACATCAAGTACAGAGGCTGAGGTTCTTGGTGTTTATTGGCTTACCAGGCCATGAAAGCAAGCTCCCAAAGCCAGGCCCTGCCCCACAGCCCAGCTATCTATAGGCCTTGAACTTCTGGAGCCAGGATTCCAGATGATCAGTGGGTTCGGGCTGGCACGGAGCTAAGCCACTTTCTGCTGTCAGAGCTGTGTTCCCTGGGGAGGAGAGGTGGGCAGAAAGAGAGGACATATTGGCCCTCTTCCCCTAGTCCTGCCAGGTTTGTGAGTCATCCCATGAGAGAGGCCACTTCTAGATGGAGTGGAACCTGAGGGGCTGATCCCAAGCCCTAGGAACTCTGAAGGGAACATCTCCTTTCCAGTTTTCTAAGCTTCTCATAATTCAGCCAAGGAGTTCCCGTGCTTGAGAAACAGGGAACACTACCATCCTGAGGACACTAGGGTCACAGCTGCTTAATGCTCAGGCTTTTGTGAATTTGTCTCTGGAACACAGGCTTTCAGCAAAGGATGCTGTCTTTCCTGCCCTGTCTGTCCATCCATCCTCCCTGGAGTAAAGGGTTTTCCAACATAGTCTCTTAGAAAGATGGATTCCCCAGTTATTAGGCCAGTGACCTCTTCAGGATAATAGATGAGCCCGAGAGGCCCTGGCCCTCAGTACCCACCTGCTTCCTTGCTGTCCTGACTGGAAGAAGAGGCCATGGAGGTCAGGGCCCAGGCTTGTAGAGACACACTGATCCAGCACCGAATGGTTATGGCTACCCTGTTTTCGACGGACTGCCTTCTTCTCCAGCCGTGGGCAGAGTGGGATGCAGGGCACCTGGGCATAGGGGCTCTGCATATTGGCACCTGGAATAGGAGGGAAACGAGAATTGAGAGCATGGCCATCCTGGTGAAACCCTCGGTTTGCCACATAATAGAGTGAATTTAGGTGAACCCTTAATGTCTGAGCCTCTAAGACGGAGAGGGTATTGGTATCCACCGCACAGTAGATGACAGGGATGATGTGTGTGGTGCTGAGGGCTAAGCATGGAGTAAAGGATGGCCACAGCATAAAGAAACTTGCCCAGGACAACAGTCAGGTATACAATTCGGGGGTGAACCTAAGTGCAAACTGCCCTTGCCGGCATACTAGCTGGGGAAGTCACTCAATTTTCCTTGGTTCCCATTTTGGTCTAGTGTGGAGATTATAAGGCACATCTGCAAAGGACTGTGCAGTGGAACGTCCTGGCAGGCTCTCACATGGTAGTTCTTGGGACAGCCTCAGCTCAGTGGGAAGGTGGGAAGGTAGAGTTCAAAGAATGGAGCTGGATGTTGGGTCTACAGACTAACCCTACTTGGTAACAGTTCCCACACAGCTAAATTCTGGGCTTCATCTAGGGGAATCTGCTTGCCGGCCCAGGCTGCTCACGGGCCCTCACCATAGTTCTGCTGCTTCAGCCGGCTCAGGATCCTGAGGACCCTTCGATCTGGGACCTCTAAGCTGTCTGTTTGCTGAGAGTTGTAAGGAAGCTTCTTCCTTGATCGAAGCCCGCCCACAGTCGATTCCATCTCTCGGGTCTTGGGGGTGCCATCCTTCAGCTTCTTCTGGTAGTAGCTGAGGAGGTAACACCTGGTAGTTCAGCCTGGCTGTAGTTAATTCACCCCTTCCTCCTGATCCCCCACCCTGGTTCTGGCTGGCCATTGTGTGGTAGCACTGAAGCCTGGGGAGTCAGGAGATGTAGACCCCTTATGAAATACAAGGAAATGGTTCTGTCTGCCCTGTTGCTGCATGCCACTTAATGTCTGAACTTCAGATCTCCGCCACACTGCTAAGATGGGGGCCGAATTTGTGTATGCTGGAGGATTGCACATGAGATGGGACCCGTCTCGGCACCAGCCATGTAGAGATTGGTATGTATTACACACTGTTTCTGTTACTCATATTTTCGCTTAGATACATTTCTGCTTATAAACCATCCAAGCAGGGCTGGGGATGTGGCGCAGCTGCTAGAGTGCTTGCCTAGCGTGCGGGAAACCTTGGTAAACTGTTAGGCTGAGCATAGTGGCAGGTGCCTGGAATCCTAGCACTCAGGAGGTAGATGTGGGAGGCTCAGAAATGCACAGTCATCCTTGGCTACATGGTTAGTTCTAGGCCATCCTGGGAAACTGAAGTCCTTGTCTTGAAACAAACCCAGCCATGCAGTAGGCTCCACCTCATCTAAGCTGTAGCTTAAAGGTTTGCATGCTAGCCAGGCGCCCACCCCAAGCTTGCTTGCTTGCTTGCTTTTTATTTCTGTTTAGAAACAGATCTTCCTATATAGCCTTGGCTGTTCTGGAACTGACTGTAGCCCAGGCTGGCCTCAAACTCATGGTGATCCTTTGACCTCTTTCTTGTCTTCCATGTGCTGATGTGACATGCATTAGCCACTCATCACTTGCCTTTTACCGTACTGAGTGCCTACCCCAGCAAACAGTGTGTTAACTGTTTTCGCTGGCCTGAAGCAAAGGGCTGTCACAGACAAGGACCCTGTGTGTGCGTTAGCATGGCCTCTCACTCCAGCCCCTGCTGCAGCACTCATTTCTGTAGGGACGACTCACAAGGTCCACCTCAGGCTGCCCCAGGATGCTTTGGACACATGGAACCCAGAGGTGCAAAGGAATTAAAGGGCCAGGAGTTGGAGGCCAGGGTATAATAAAGCATTTCCCTTTCTTCCCAAGACACTGTGCACAGTTCTTCAGATCCAGGAGTGTGCAACTTAGTGACACGTCCTTGTATTGCCTCTTCCTCTGCCACCCACCCCCTTCCCTTCCTTCTGCCTCTCAGTCACCTGGACACGAAATGGCCGCATTGACCATATTCAAATGTAAAGATACCATCGTGTGAGGAGTGATGGATGCTCTGAGGGAAAGGAAGGGATGGGGTAGTGACAAGGGGCTGTTTGCTCATGGTGATAAGCAGAGTACCAGATGAGGCGGGAGGAAGAGCCTTCCAGCCTGCATGGCCAAGGAATGGCACAAGTAAAGGCCGGGAGGTGGGAAGGAGGCCAGAAGAGCTGGAGCCTGACGGCTGCTGGGTGCTGTGAAGGCTGGGTATGCTCTTCAGGCCCTCAGGGCTGGATCTGGCTGTGCCGGGGCTTCCCTATTCCTCATATAAGGTGAGTTGAGATGATGGAAAACCAGTTCTGGGCTGGAGACGGCTCAGAGGTCCTAAGTTCAATTCCCAGCCACCACACAGTGCCTCACCACCATCCATAATGAGATCTGGTGCCCTCTTCTGGCCTACACATGCAGGTAGAACACCATACATTATAAATTATTTCAATTTAGAGACTGGTCTTGCTATATAGTCTTGGCTGTCCTGGAACTGGTTGTTAGCCCAGGCTAGCCTCAAACTCATGGTGATCCTTTGACCTCTTGCCTTTGCTTATACAAAACACTGTATACATAATAAATCTTTTAAAAAGAAAAGAAAAATGCCGGGCACGCCTTTAATCCCAGCACTTGGGAGGCAGAGACAGGAGTATCTCTGTGAGTTCGAGGCCAGCCTGGTCTACAGAGTGAGTTCCAGGACAGGCTCCAAAGCTACAGAGAAACCCTGTCTTTAAAAAAAAGGGGGAGGGGGAAGAAAGCCAGTTCCACAGTTACCCATAGTCAGAGTTGAATCTGTCTCTTCTGTGAGACAGATGTGGGAAGATTTTAAGAGCTGGTGGGAACAAGGCTAAGCTATGGTCAAGCTTTCATAATTAATAAAAAGTTTCTGTGTCATTATTCAAGGGCTGGCAGTCCAAAGAAAGTCCAACTCTGTATGTGTAGTGGGGTGGTTGGTCAGCTGGACTTGAAGTACTTGGCTAGTGTGCATGAATCCCTGGGTTAGGCCTCTGCACCAAATTAACCAAGCATGGTTGTGCATACCAGTAATCCTAGAGACAGGAGCATCAGAATTTGAAGGTCATCCTCGGCTGTATCAAATTGGAGTCAAGCCTGAGCTACATATGCCCTTAGTGAAACTTGAATTTTTATTTTATATTTTGAGACAGCGTCTCACTTTGCAGCCTCTGCTGGCTTGGAATTCACTGTGTAGACCAGCTTGATCTCCAAGTCTCAGCCAATTTAAGGTTATTAGCCTTTGGGAATTATGGGCATAGGGTGAAGCTGGAGGATCTCAGGTTCTAGCCCAGCTGGGATAACACAGATCCTATCACAAAAAAGGGAAGAAAAAGTTAACTCTCACCTTATACCCTGGGGTCTAGTTTCTTAGAGCCTGTAGGTGTTTGACAAGGATGTCCTTTCTGAAGTAAATGCACTTGTGCAAACAAGCTGGGAGCTAAGTGGCCACCTTCCATCATAGAAAGAACCACAAATTCCTGGGCTAGAGATCTAGCTTAGTGATGGAGTGAAAAGGGAAGGAGGGACTCCAGGGGACAGATGGGTAACCCAAGAGACTAGGGATCTGAGACAGGAGGATTGCCATCCTGGGCTACCTGAGACCCTGTCTCAAGGGGGTGGGAGGAAACGGGAGGAGGAACTCAAAAATGAATGATGTTAGCTGATCACCTTAGGTTAAATCTATGACAGCCTTGGCTGCTTATACAAAGTAAAAAGTCTCCTCCTGAGCCCCTTGTGATGTCTTATGCCAGTGCTGTGATCCTGGCTAACTCCTCTGTACAAGTAAGGGAACAGTGAGGGGAGAGGAAACATGCAGAGCTGGAGAGACTGTGCCCGCTGTAAAGCCAGGCAGTGATGGTTCACACCTCAGAAGGCAGAGGCAGGTGGATCTCTGTGAGTTCGAGGACAGCCTGGTCTACAGAGGGAGTTCCAGGACAGCCAGGGCTACATAGAGAAACCCTGTCTTGCAAAACCAAACCAAACAACAAAAAAGAACTGAGTCAAGAAACAAACCATCCAGTTAAAAACTGGGCCATGGATGTAAGTAGTCCTCAAAAGAAATACAAATGGCTACGGAAGACCTCGGTGTATTCAGCAGCAGCAGCAGCAGCAATTAGAGAAATTCACTTTGAATAACAAAGATCAAGAAAACAGCTGGTAACAGATGCTGGCGAGGACATGGGGAAAGGAGAGCCCTCACCCAGTGCTGGTGGGATGGAAATCAGTGTGGAGAATTCTCAAAAGGCTAAAAATAAATCCACCATATGACAAGCTAGTATTAAAATACGCTCATTCAGGACAGGAAGTGAGGGCGAGGTTCAGAGATCAGCTGGGCCTGCCACCTCCACCCATCACTTTCAGCCTGAAAGACATCATGTTTACTTAGCCTGTAGTCATATCTCCCTGGGCTGCCCACTACCTGTCCATCACCCTTCCTGGAGGCCGAGCCACCCACCACCTTTCCTGGAGGGTGAGCTGCCCACTACCCGCCCACTACCCTTCCTTGAGGCTGAGCTGTCCAGTGCCTGCCCATCCATCACCCTTCCAAGAGGCCGAGCTGCCCACCACCTTTCCTGGAGGGTGAGCTGTCCACTACCCGCCCAATACCCTTTCTGGGGGCTGAACTTTCCAGTGCCCATCCATCACCCTTCCTGGAGGCCGAGTCGCCCACTACCCTTCCTGGAGGCTGAGCCGTCCACTGCCTGCCCATCACCCTTCCTGCAAGATTCCTTTTCTGAGGGTTTTCTAGTCTTCAGGAAGGATCGTTGTAGTCTTGATGAAACTGCTGAACCAGGAGGGCTGTGAGCATCGGGCTGCCATCACCACCCTTCCCACTGGGAGAACCTGGCTGAGCTTAAAACCAGCAGCACCGTGAAATAGAGAGGTGGAGAAATAAAACTTTAATGGTATCATCCAGTGTCCTGGATCCAGCCATTCCTGAGGCCCTGGCCGATTATTTGAATGATGCATTCCTCTTCTGTGTAAGGCCGTTTAATTAGGACTTCCTTTTGGTTGCACCTGAGCATCTTAACCCTCAATCATCTTTAGGTGCTGAAGCACTAGCTGCTGCTTCTGTCTACGTCCCCCACCCTCAGCCAACCGGCCCCTCTTACTTTGTGATCTCCTCTAGGGCCGCTTCCGGCAGGGCCATCATCTCCACCAGCAGAGAGAGGATCTCAAAGAACAGTGTGTAGGGGTTCGGGGGCGACATATCCATCAGGACATTCTGTTCTGGGGACATGGAATAGTGACTGCCATTACTCTTAGGTGGCCTCTGATGTACCCCGTCAGCTTCCAGGTTCTGCTTCCGGTTCTGACTGCCCTGGGCTGACCCCTGCTCACCCACAGAGCAGAAGAAACGCTTGGTGTCTGTCATCACTGCCAAGAAGTCTTTGAAATCCACATGACCGTCTCCTGCAGTGTCAGAGAAATAACAGGGTGAATAGGCCCAGGTACTGCAGGCTAGGCTTGGCCCTGGTGTCTTCTCCCTCTGCCCCCCAGGGACAAATTGTAATGGCAGTGCTGGATCAGCAGCAACTGTGGACAGGAGAAGCCAAAAGCTACAATCTTCTAGTTAGAGGCTATCGGACCAGGACAGGGCTCGTAGCCCAGTTGGTAGAGTGTTTGTCTAACATGCATGTTTAGTTCCTCAGTACCATGTAAGCCTGGAGGTAGGGGAGGAAGATTAAAACTTCAGGGTGATCCTTGGTTGGCTACATAGCCAGCTCCATGCTAGCCTTAGCTACACAGACCGTGTCAAGGAATATGAGAAACTACTGAATCTTGTATTTTTTAATTTATTTTTATTTTATGTGCTTTGGTATTTTGCCATGGGTGTCAGGTCCTCTGGAACTGGAGTTACAGACAGTTGTGAACTGCCATGGGGGTACTGAGAATTGAACCCGGGTCCTCTGGAAGAATTGTTAGTGCTCTTAACCATTGAGCCAGCCCCTGTACCTTGTATTCTTGAGACAACACTATGAGTTGAAAACCCAAGTCCACCATTTCTCATTCATGTAGTTGGGTCAAGTTTCTGAACCCCAGGAAGGTTTAGTTTTCTCGCTATGGAGTGGAGACAATTAACAGGGCTGCACGCATAGCACATGCCCACTAAAGGCCAGCAACTGTCGTTACTGAGAATGTGTACCTACCGGATTCTAGCTAGACTTTAAGGCCCTGCAGTACCTACCGAACTCCTGTCAGCAGCCTCATCTCATGCCAACCTCCCTGGCAGGAAAAATACTGCTTGAAGTCCACATTCCTCCCATTCGAGGTCTCTGTTTGTGCTGCTCCCGGATCACAGATGTCTCCCCCTTCCTGCCATGGTTCCTCACTGTTAACATTTTGTTTCTTTTATGTGAGGGGAGGCGATACGCTTGCCACATCCCAGGTATGGAGATGAGAATACGTCTGCTGGGAGCTGGTGTTCTCCTCCCACATGTGAGTTCTAGGGCTCAAACTCAGGGCATGTTTGCTGCTAAGCCACGTCACCTCCCCTTTCTCAGAGGTTCAGACCAGGTCAGATCCCTCGCCAGACTGTCTCCTAAAGCTCCTGTCACACATGTGACCCTGAGAGACAAGAATTGTACATCTTGTCCCATGCTGAGTCCCAGGGTTCAATCCGGTGGGAACTTCACTGATGTTCTCTGAGCTTCTTGACAATGGACTAAGTAAGGTGTAAGAACAGGGATGGGAGGCTTCGGACTTAACCCTGGTCACAGGCAGGGCTCCAGACGCTTGTCACCCATCCACATCGGCAGAGCTAGGTCAGCTAGGGTTGAGTTTGTTTTCCTAGGTCAACAGTCTGCCGCTTCGCCACACACCCTTGAAATGTGTGTGAGGACTATACAGTGGCGGAAGGAGCAGTCGTGAGCGGTGGGCAGGACGCAGGTCCCGCATGACCCTTCTCATCTCTGTGTCAGGCCACACTCCACCATACACAAGTGCCTCAAGCCCACTTCTCAGGAGCTACTACTTCCTTTTTGCCTGACCCCTGTTTGATTTAACACCACTTGGCTTGAGTGGCTCCTCCTCCAGGAAGCCTTCCTTCCTGACCCCCGTCTTCCAAGCTGCTGTAACTGTTATTTCCTTTTGCTTTGCTTCACTTCCGTGTCAGCTCTTGCCCTGTGGCAGTAACTGGGAACCCTTGAGGACCACGGGGCTCACGTGTCTTACACATCTCTATTCTCGGTGCCCTGCACAGGAACAGCCACGGAAGGCATTCCATACTTGTCACGTGGGTAATGCTAACAGCTATTGCCTTCTGACCCGCAGGCTCTGTCCCACCCTCAGCCCGGCTCACCCATTTTATCTGAGAGAACTTGAGGATGTTACTCCCAATAGCACAGAGAAGCTGAGGCCTAGCAAGCCGTAGTGACTTGACCAAAGCCATAAGGCTGGTAAAAGTCATGCAAAGGTCACAGGGGACACCTGATGTGCAGAGCCAGCTGAGGTCATTTACACCATTGGTCAGGATGGGGGTCCTGGTCACCTCTGGATCCCCAGAAGGTGACACCGCACAGTGGTTCTGGGAATATTAACTTCCAGAACCAGGGCCAGCTTGCCAGAGTCTTTGTGAGCCCCGGGGTGGAAGAACAACGCAAACCTAATGGGTTCAGATGTTAGGGCCACTGAACGCTGACCCTGAGCTTCAAGCCAGGAGAGATCCTTCCGGCAAGGGGCCCACATGCGGGTGCAGCCCCTCGCTGGAACTTAGGGAAGACCCCTTGCTCACCATTGACATCGGCACTCATCAGGGCCTCTTCCACCTGTGCTGGGGTCAGGGTGAAGCCAATCAGGAGCAAGATGTTCTTGAGGCTCCGTGCATCCACCTCACCAGGGCCGTTGAAGATCTCAAAGTAGCTGCGGAAGGCTGTCAAGAGGCACAGGGCGACCAAGTGAGTCACTCCTGCGTTTCTTCTTTTTAGCTTTCGTGTGGCATGTGGTCTGTGTGTGTATAATATGCGTGGTGTGCTTGGTGCATGCGTGTATGTGTCACAAGGAAGACATCAATATCCAGCCCTATTCCTCTGTTTTATTCCCATGGATCAATGACAACATTCTGGAAGATTTGAGGAAAAGAGCTGCTCTGGTCAAGAAGGTTCTAGACCTTGGGAGGGAGTGTGAAACAGGAGGGTTCACTGTTTTTAAACTTAATCTCAATCTTATAGATTTTACCAGTAAAGACTCAGGAGTCAGATGCTGGGGAGAAAACCTGCTAGCTCAGGGAGGCTGAGGAGCAACCAGTTGACTTTTTCCCTTGGTCAGCATCTCAGAAAGAGAGCTTCTCTTTTGTAGTCCCACACCAAAAAATACTGCCAAACTCAAAGTCCCTCGCTTCTACTTCCTGTGCATTTCTCTATCCGTTTTCTGGACTCCCTCTTACTCTCTATGGTTACTTCTTGTTAACTAGCTGCTGGTTCCACCTCTTGACCCAAGGTTGATTTTATTAACACAATCTTGGGGTTCACAGTGTGATCAAATATCCTGCAACAGTACACACCCATTCTTCTAGGGACAGCCCAGCATGAGAAAGTAGGGTCAGAGGGCATCCCCAAGGACCATACAGACCGGTAGGCACAGCACCTACCCAGGGTAGAGTTCAACACTGTCCAGTTTTGTTAGTGGGGCAGGGTGTGATGGGAAGCAGGGGCTTGTTCAGGGCTGGTAGCCTTGTTAAATGGGGAGGGATTATTTAGGATGGGTAGGGTTCCTGGGGGACCCTGTCTCCCCTCCAAGCTGCCTCTAAAGAGTGGTGTGGAGTGGGGAAGGTGACCCACCCTCTCTACTGTGTCAAGTGCAGTTGACCGCCCGCTGGGAACACTGCTTGGTGTGATGGGACAGTGGGTCAGCAGGGCAGTGGTGTAAGGTGCTCACCTTCCTCTTGCTTCAGGGTGAGATGCTCCTCAGACCGCTCCTCCCAGCTCTGGTACAGTTTGAAGAGGCCATGCTCTTCCGGCTCCTGCCTGCAGAACAATGGACCCAGGACAGTTTGCAACCACCTCCTGCCTGCCTCTGCCCCTGCCTCTGTCCCTGTCTCTGCCAAGGCTACCCAAGACAGGGGAAATGAAGCCAGGGCGGCACAGGTTAGGGAAATTCTGAGGGACTTTGGTGGTCAGCAGCCACAGGTGACAGGAGAGGCAGACCCAACGGAATGAGGCAAAGCCATTTGATGGTGGTGGTGGCAGGAGTGGGGAGACTAGATGGTGGGAGAACTGGGGGTGCACTACAGGGGTGGAGTGCTTGTCTAGTATGTGTGAAACCCTGGCTTTCACCCCCAGCATCAGGAAGAAGAGAAAAGAGGGAAGGAGGACTTGGAAAAGAGACCTGAAACTTGGGGGACCCCTGCTGGGAAGCACAGAAAGAAGACAGAGTTGAGGGGGAACTCCTGAGAGGATGAGCAGGGGCCAAGACCAGAGTGTAGAAGGAGATACAAGTGTCCACAGTGGAAATAGACTGTCAGCGTGGGACCTGTCTAGATGGGGAGGTGGCTACTACCGTGTCTTGGCATAGTTCAAGCTTCTCTCATTGCCCTGGGGCAAGAACTCTGGTCATCTCCAGCTCAGGTCCTGGGTGGGAGCTGACAGGACTGAACTAGGGGACCCCACAGAGGTAGGGACTTGCCCAGGGGCTGGTGGTCTGACCCACAGTGGGACAGTAGCTGGAGCTGAGGTGGAGGGTTCAAGCAGGGTCAGAGGCAAGGTTGGGACTGAGTTGATGATAGGGCCTGAGGTGGAGACAGAAGTCGGGGTCCTGGGTGACCTCCGGGTTGTCAGGGTCCGGGCTTTCAAAGTCCTCCGTTGGGTGACTTCTTCCTGCTCTTCCACCTCCAGGAGGCACTTCATGAAGCCCCGACGGGAGTTCCCAGATGCATGGGTTCCTGCAGCTGCCGAAGCCTGCTGCCGTTGCTTCTGCCCTTGGCCCAGCTCCTTCTTCTCAGCAATGTTTCTTTCCTCCTGAGGGCAGATGAGGGCATGTGGGGTACCAGAAGCCAGCCAGATTGGCTACAGAACTGCTAACCCCGGCAGAACAACTGAGGATGCTCAAACTGTCCTTTCCTCTCCAAAGCTGTGGAGGAGATACTCCAGATCTCCATGTACCACCCTGGGACCCATGTGGGTCACCACCTCCCACCTGCAAGCTATGTTCCTGAGTGAGCCAAATCCTTCATTGCAGCCCACACAGCTGGCAGTGACCTTGCCTCACTCCTGATGCCTATTTCACACAGGTGTCCCCAGCACATAATGGGCACTTCAACTGTTGTTCCTCATTCATTCCATAGAGCCAGCCATACCTACATCTGGTCCTCCCATCCCTGGGTCAACATACCTGCTTCAGCCCAGCCTTTCTCCATCACTTACTCCCACCAGCATCCCGGCCTTTCTCCATCACTTACTCCCATCAGCATCCCCAACTTTCTCCATCA